AAAAGACCCAATCATATTTTCTTCAAACAAGGACTATGGGAGTTACAATTGTTAGGCGATGGGATTTAACTTCATTTTAGATCCAGTTTGCTCTGAATTTAAGGCTCTTTGTTTGTTTTCTCAAGAATAGAGTGTGTTCAATAATTTTAATTTCAATTTTACGATTGTCCAGCACGGTCGCCTTTTTGTTTTGATTTCGTTATGTAACAGTCTGGATATTTATCTCGATTTACCTGAGTGATCAGTGACAAAATCTCCTTATCTTGTCGCCGATTCATTCTCTGTATACCTTCGTGAGAGAATTTGGACTTTGGTCTGAATGTCTCCGACCTTGAATTTTTTTTGCAGGCAAGGTAATAAAAATTTACGATTTGAACACTATTTCTTGTAGAAAGGCGCATTGAAGTTCCTTTTGAAAGACTGCTTTCCAATCCCCACGTCAACCTGATTATGAAAATAGAAAACAGAAAGGTGAGATAACTATGCAGGCGTACTTTTCGCGGACAAATGCGTTTCCATTGGAGGCGCGCCATCTTGGTGGCGTTGATTCGGAATACAGGGGAGGCCTGGGGAGAGAGGAAAAGCGACCAAAATATCCAGCGGTCACCTACACAAAAACCTTCATTCCTTTGAAATCTGCATTGTCCAGGTGTGCTGTGGTGAACTGAACTAAAATCGTTTTGATGTGGATAATAGCTTTTCTTTTAATATGTTGTCTGAAAGCGGATTGTAGGGCTTCAACTGAAATTAACCCTAACTTGAGTTACTTGCTGTTTGTTATGTCCCCTAATAGCTGTTTTAAACCTTTCGGCTCTAGTTAATAATACAGCTTAACAATATTTAAGATTGCTCAATTCACACAGGTCATATTTGAAACGCTCCAAGCCTTGTTCCTGTCCCTCATTCGCAAACAACTGATCTACACTCACGAGGTTGAACAGTGGTACATTAGTGCTCTGGGATTTGTAACGGGTGAGGTAAGAGGCTTTCAGGAAAGTAGATAAAGCGGGGAGGGTGGTCACCTCAAATCAGTCTTGTTGTATTTTTAGGGGGAGGGGTGGGAAGTGAGATTGGACTTCTTGCTATTAGACTGGCCATAACCCACTAAGTCATTCTTCGTGTGTTTGCGTATGTTTTTCTCTCATTGGTCAGTTTTTTTAGTGGCAAATGCAGAATGAAAGGCTGATGATGGTTAAACAAACGGTTCTGAAATCAGTTCTTGTTGCTGGGCGAATCTAGTTCTAAAATCAGCACAAGACATAGGCTGAAATTATCTGGCAGTGTTTCTTTACAGGAATGACATGTTTCGCTTGGCTTGGTTATTTCCTTGTCTCTTAATCTTTATTCCCGCGACTCTAAAAAGGGTTAACATGCTATCATGTTTGCATGACAAATCACTATTTTTAATAAACTGACGGAAAATGAAAAATTGAACAAAATGCCCAAGTGGCGGGGCGTAAGAAGGCTTGCTGAATACATACAGTGTAAAGTGACATCAAACACAGTCAACAAGTAATAACAAGTTTTTATTTCAGTACAGTCCCCATGTTTATTTTTCCATGTGACATAAATGGAATGCCAACACTAAAAGATCAGAACATTACAGAACTTTTTCGTCATCTGACAATGAAAAAACGAAATACTATTGCTTAGCCTTTTTTTGGCAAAGAATGACAGGGGTGGTTTTGGCGTACGAGTCGCTCTGGCGGGTGCAGGTCCAGTCATTCCACTTGCCTTTGGCGGATCCTTTACCATACATGTGGACACATTTCTCTGCTACACTATTCGGTTCGCCAGTGTACCAGTTACTGTAGCCCGCCAGCAGTGTGTCATCTATCCAGTATAACTTGTTATCTGCCTTTCGGTGAAGTCCTAGCCATACGCCATACCGTGTTATTTTCTTCTGCTTGGTGACCAGATCAAAGATGAACTGATTCTCAGAGGCTGATGTGAGTTTAACGAGGTCTGCTCCCAGTTTCTGGCAATTTCGTCGGGCGTCGCTCCACTCCAGGGTTGGTATGTCGATGACGAGGAAGCACGAGTTTACATGAAGTGCCCAGCCGTCTGGACACTTGTTAATTCCTTGCCGAATTAAAACGAGGCTTATAAAGCAGGCTTAAATGGGGCAATCCTGCCGCCAAATCGCTTGTAAAAGGAAATCATTCGTTTCCTAGATTGGTAGGAAGAACTTCTTGTAATAGGGAATTTATGAAAGTTAGAGTTTCAACGACAGTTTAACTGGTTATATATTTGGACATGTCTGTGAAATTATTATGGTACGATAAACTAGCGTGGTTTATTTACAAGATTTATAGGTCAAATTTCGGTCTTTTTCAAGCCTTGACGAGAGATCTTTTACCCGCACCAGTCTTAATTTTCAAGAACAAGCCGTTGAAGAATTTTATTTCCCGAAAGTTATAGTTCATCGAAACAAACGTATGAGGTCGCACACACCAACAACAAACCATGACAAGAGAACTTCTGAGACTTGAAATAATTTTTCAACAGACCTACTAAAGATATAAAATACCTTTGCTGGACTTTGCAGCGATGGAATCAACTTTAGCTTTGATATCAGCCAGCATTTCACTCTCGCTTTTCGCCAAACCACAGTTGTTGTTCACCACAAGGCTCTGATCTGGGTTAGTTTTAACGACAGGCTTGGTGCTGGAATTTTGCGGCTTGCCGTTAGAAAAGGCGGTCAGTATCACAACACAGAGGAACAGTGCGAAAGTCGGTCGAGAAAACATCTTCGTATTAAAGCACAATAATATTTTCCGAAGTGTAGTTTTGAGACGATCAATCGGCAGCCACTGACTCGAAATGATAGCTGTAAGAGGGAATGCTGCAATTAAGTTGTTTACCGAAACAAGAACTTTTTCGGGTCTTGTAAACACGTGGCGGAAGTCAATTTTAGTTTTTGGGTTTATTATCAACCGTAGAACCGAAAAGGAACCGTAAATGCTTTTAAACAGATAACGGTATTTGAAAAAAGTTCAAACTTTTGGGTATGTTCAATTCCGAACACCATTATCGTAATTTAAAATTATTTTTCGATCAGAAGTGAGCCGATTTACATCTCAATTCTGGCAAAAGTTATTACTATCAAATTTGTCAGTACGATTCACTCGTTAGTTAGAACTTTCTCTGCGCTTCACTGTTCTTTATCTACGTTCAAAATTGTTATTTTGGAGCGATTAACTTTACAATAAGCCTAGAAGGAAATTAAAAAAAACGGACGTGTGGTGCGACAATGAAAACTGTGTGAAATGACGCGAAACTTTCAGAGCTTTAAGGTTAGATTATAAACATACACAAGTCTAATTATGTAAATTTGAATGAGTTCAAATCGTAAGGAATTAACGTTTTCATAGTGTGTGTTCATCGTCACTCAATAAAAATAAAATCAAAAACCATTCAGTGGATAAAGTCAAGAAATTGTGATATTATAGACGATAAATAAAGAAGACAGTTCTCCAAGTTTAAGGTGTGTGCGTTGTCCCAAAGTTGAGATATTTGTCGAATTGTTCCTCTCAAAATTATACGGTCTAGTATGAAGCCGCCATGTTGGTGGACCTCCTTAGTCCTCCAATATGGCGGCCGAAAAATGGTGTAACCATCTGGAACTTATTTTGGCTATCTAGTCGACTGATTATCTGAACCGAACCAAAAAACAATTACACAAGCACTTTTCCTTATACTTTAACTCCAAAAAAGGCTAAAAGTCACGAGATACGTGTATATTTTTCGACAAACGCGATCTTAGCTTCATGTCACGCACCGCCATAACTCCGAAATTCAAAATGCGCTGGTTTCCAAACGAAGGACGCTATTGAGCTAGAAAGTTGTAAACATAAAAATTTAGTACTTCTTATGCCTATGAGAATTTGATGACGTCACGTGAACACACTCTATTGCTCATTTACAGGGAAGAGTGTTAGTAAAATTGTTAATCGCAGAATTTTGTTGAGCGAGCTTTGTGGCACTTGTTTTAGTTTAAACATGCGAAGACTTATAAAACGTCTTGATCGGATAATTATAAAAAGAAATTGTGTTAATGATTTCACTCTTAAATACGTTTGCCCAATGAACTATGAATTCCCATAATAATAATAATAATAATAATAATAATAATAATAATAATAATAAGGCTTGTAAAGAATGAGTGTCATTTATAATTCGTTTGTAAGTTATATGCTGGAGCTGTTGTTGTTACAGAAGAACTAGGTGTGAGGAATAAGAAAGGAACAAAACCAAAAGAGC